GATGTACCCTGGTGCGAGGCCATGGAGAGACTTGTACACAAGTAAAGCTACTTTAAAATCTATTCTCTGAGCCACAGGAAGCCAGTGCAGAGACCTGAGGACCGGACTAATGTGGTCGTACTTCCTGGTTCTAGTCAGGACTCGAGCTGCAGCATTTTGGATGTACTGCAGCTGTTTTACCGCTTGTTTAGAGAGACCTGTGAACAAGCCATTGCAGTAGTCCAATCGACTGGAGACAAATGCGTGGATAAGAATCTCCAAGTCTGCTTTAGACACAATGTTTTTAATTTTAGCAATGTTTCTTAGGTGGAAGTAAGCTGATGATGTCACAGATGATATGTGGCTATTCTAGAAGGTGTTTTACTGTGTCCCCTGGGGGTCTTTTGGGAGTACTGGGTCTGGGTCCTTTGCTGAGGGCTGCCCGTGTCCCTGCATGACCAGAAGCAGAGTTTGCGTCCCCAGCTGTCAGACCTATGCCCAGTGCATGTAAGGAAAGAACACATCCAATGAGTCCTGATTGTAAATAAACCTTCTTTAAAGTGATTGTCTGGAGTTTGTCAGAAAAAGAGAGAGTGCTTGATTTGAAAAAAACGACGCAAGCTCCTCCCCCTTCCTTTCTGATTGGTCTACACCACACGTTTTTACCTTTTAAATGTTAATCAGAGAACACATTATACATATACATTATTAATACACATGCACGGAGGTTTTCAGAATTATTTGTTAAGGTTTTAATGAAAAAAATAATGTTTTTATGCACAAAAAAAGCGATTGCGGCAAACCCGGAACAAGCTATTATCATGAACTGCACATTATAGGACACATCTGCAGAGGATCTGATTATAGATATAGGTTCAGTATATAAATTATTATGGATATAGGTTCAGTATATAAATGATTATGGATATAGGTTCAGTATATAAATGATTATGGATATAGGTTCAGTATATAAATGATTATGGATATAAGTTCAGTATATAAATGAGTAACTCAGATGTTCAGAATTCTTTGTTCAGTTTTCATGTAGTTCCAGAGCCTAATAGAGGCTTGATTCGGAGGTTCCGTGAAAACAAACAACTGAGCATGCGCAGCTACGAGCATCAGAGCTGATGATTGACAGCCCTTGGCATGACTCGATTGGTTAACCTCGACGGCACCGTGGATTCTGAAATATAGCTAAGAGAAGGGAAGGCGGGACTTGCCCGTATGACTTATTTTATATCAACATTTAAGGCCAGGAGCAACAATTCTTTACATTTATAATTCATTTAGAGTTACAGACTATCACTTTAATAAACAGAGCCTTCACATTTGTTGTTGGCCTCCACCGAGCCTGCCCTTTGTCACCGGTTCTGTTCACTGGTTTTATGGACAGAATGTGTTGGTACAGCCAGGAGCCGGAGTGGGTCTGGCTTGGGGACCACAGGATTTCATCTCTTGTCTTCTTTTCTATGATTTTGTTTTTTTTCCCCCTTGCACATAAAGTTTAAAATATATATATTTCCTCATTATCTTCTTCAGTGTCCAGCTACTTTTCACCACTGAAACTATCTTATACATTATGCAACAATCAAAATGTTTGATGAAATATCCTTCAATCAAAATGTGTTGTACGAATAGGGATATATCTTTTGGGTGTTGTGTGGGTGTCAAAGCTATTTTCATTCCAAAGGGTTGTGTGAGTGTCCCTCCTGTTCACATGAGGTATAAGGCCCGTCTTTGGGTGAATGCACATTTTGCCAAAAGCAACAGGATGCATGCAGTCAGCTTGGACTCAAATCAAAGCTCATTACATAGTGTTCTGAAGGTCAGAGCCTCCTCCACTTACGCCGACAGACTTTAACCGTTTATCTGGAATTTTCACCAAATGGAGTTTGTGCATTATATAGTTTTTACATTGTAGAGACATTACATTGTTATTTAACCTGATCTGATCGTCAGATATAGATGAAAAGATAGATGTGGTGTCCAGTAGCAGCAGAAACATATTCATACAAACAAAACATAATTCCCTTTTTCCCTTTAGTCACAAGTGCTAAAACTGATGAATATAATATGAAATAAAGCAAAAATCAGGTTGATTGAAAGGCTGATGCTAACTGGTAGCAGGTTCCATTCTTGTGCCTCTTGTTGAAATTCCCTGGCCGTTATCATCAGCGTTCATAAAGCATGCAAGAGTCGCACAATAGGTGGGCCTTAAACCCTGGCGTCTTGGCTTCATCCTGCAGAATTTTGTTGATACTTTTTACGAGGAGTTAGTGGACATACGTGTGCCTTTAATATGAGCTGCATTTGTGGGTATGGTTATAATCCAAGTATTAGAGTAAAAGGAGTTTGTAAACCACCTGTGGCGCAAAACAGGAGCTGTAGTTCTGAGCGGAGCCAGAGCAGAGCAATACAGGCGGCACGGTGGCTGAGTGGATAGCACTCTCGCCTCTCAGCAAGAAGGTCATGGGTTCGAATCCCGGCCGGACCAGGGCCTTTCTGAGTGGAGTTTGCATGTTCTCCCTGTGTCTGCGTAGGTTTCCTCCGGGTACTCCGGTTTCCCCTACCACTAAAAATATGTACAATAGGTCTGGCATGCGCCTCCTGTTCGGCGACCCCGCTCCCATCTCTGTGTGGAGTGAGAGGACAAGTGCCCAAAAAATAACAATTGTAAACCGCTTTGTGACTCTGGTCTGTGAAAGGCGGTATATAAATAAAGCTTACTTACTTACTTACAGTGTTTTTTTCTTTTACTCACGAGGCCCTCAGTGCCAGAGATCAGGTACTGGCTCACTCAGATTCAGAGGAGGAATACAGGGTTAGGGTTAGGTGTCCAGTGAAGCAGACACAGACATTATTAGTGACAGGAGTCCACACCATAATCCACAGTAAGTAAGCAATCTTTATTTATATACCGCCTTTCACAGACCAGAGTCTCAAAGCGGTTTACAATTGTTATTTTTGGGCATTTGTCCACTCTCTCCACACAGAGATGGGAGCAGGGTTGCCAGTACATGAGGCGCATGCCAGACCTATTGTACATAAACCTACGTAGACACGGGGAGAACATGCAAACTCCACTCAGAAAGGCCCTGGTCCGACCGGGATTCAAACCCAGGACCTTCTTGCTGAGAGGCGAGAGTGCTATCCACTCAGCCACCGTGCCGCAGTCAGCCACAGTTTACGTCCTCCGTGTTGCTGCGGTGGAAGGATTCTGCAAACACCAGGCAGGGGGCGTGGTGGAGGGGACAGGGGCATCATAACACTGTGCATGTGGGTGAATGTAGCAGGGATAAAGAACGGCAGAGACGTGGCAGAAGCCGCAGGAGAAAACACATCGCTTCGCTTTCACTGTCTTTACTGACGCCGATGATGATGATGATGAAGGCAAATCTGAGAGAAGAGAGAATGTGGATCAGAAATGTTGAAGAGCCTGTTGTTTATTGTGTAGACGATCTGACAATTTCTGAGCCCATTCATTTCATCTCTCTGTTTCTAAACATTGAATTCGGGAGCCTCATTTCCACTGAGACAAATCTGTTGTGGGTTTAGTCCATGGTTTTGTCAAGAAGAAAATTAGGAAGGATACAGCACAACAGTACAACAGTCCTACTGCTAGCAATCAGGCATCGATTTACTGTACATTTGTCAAGCTGAATGCATGCTGTGATACAGGAAAAACGGCACGGAGATTGCCCCTTAGCCAATCAGGACGCAGAACACAATATGTGTGTTCTTCCTAAACCAATCAAGATGAACACCGCACGTTCATATACAGTAAAATATAATGCTAAAAATCAATCTGCAAGAACGCAAAAAGGGACCATATACAAATAGAAATCTGAAATTTGACTCAGATTCACAATAAAGAATAACACATTTTTACTGTACGGATGCTTCAGTTTTTGTATTGGTACTTTCTGTAATTTTTTATCATCCTACATGTATTAGATTATATATTAAATAGTATGCCAGATCAGATGTATCCCAATGAAAATAATGTTGGGCTCTTTTTGATGTGAGAATTGTATAAATGCATGTCTTAAAAAAAATGAGGGGGGGATATCCCCCCATAGGGCCATAGGACTAATACCCCCCATCCCCCCCCTGGAGGAAACCCTGACTACTATATATTTCTTGCACTAGAATATACTTTTTTTTTTGCTTCTTTATTATACTAAAGTCAGATATTTTATCCTTAATTCTTGCTTCTTCAGTATGCTAAAGTTGGAGAAAAATGGCTGGTGTGCACTATCCTGGTGCACACTGGGGTAGTCTTGCACACTTTTTCCAATGTGGTGTTACTGCAAATGGCATTATTTCTTGAAACTTGAATTCTTGGAGATTTTAGGTTTGCTTCCGTATTATGCTAAAGCTAGAAATGTTAGACCTGCCTCTCTTGCATGCTAAAGTAATACAATATTTTATTTCATTTTAGAGTTACTGTTCATTTATCTCGTGCTATGCTCCTCATTCTTCCTCTTCTGTAACCGCTGATGCAACACTGAAATCTCCCCCCCGTGGGACGAATAAAGGATCTCTTCATCTTTTTTTTAGATTGTGAGGCGTAGTCCATTCTCAGGACCATGACACGACCCCTTTCTCTTTTGTAAGTTCCACACAGTGACTGTTGTGGAGGATTCTGCTGCTTTTAAACCTTTTGAACCCGGCCTCTGAAGGCAGACGGCTGAGCGCTGCCATTGATCTGCTCCCAGAGAAGAGACTGTCACGGTATCAGTTAAAAGCATTTTATTGGCCACACTCCATGCAACTCTTCATTATGCTGCGGAGAGTGTGATCGCACTATTGATCAGACTCGTCTCTTGTTGCTCATTAAAGGACGTGTCGGTGCGTTGTGTATGAAGGTGTTTCTTAACGCTTACAATGCAGCCTCTAATGAAGCAGAGAAGACGCTGCAATTAGCTCTAATACATTCCAATGGCATAAACAGCTCGTCCTGGATTATCTTTAATTATCATGTTGCGTTCTAATTGAAAATCTGTCCTCTCTTACAGGTCTCTGGAGAGGAAACTACAGAGGCCATTGCTCGCCAAGTCGCGGACCTTACCCAGCATCCCGCAGTCCCCCACTGTGTCCAGAGGGCCCTCTGATCTGATCAGCAGGAGTCCTCCTCTGAGAAAGAGCCCCTCCACAGAGAGCCAGGGCAAGGCCTGCACACTGCCCCCTGCAGGTAACACACACCAGCTCTGTTCACAAACTGTGTTTGTCTGAAGCAACCAACCGCTCAGTGTTTGGCAAGTTACTTAATTAACATAATACATTATTAGGCCCGAGCCCCGAACGGGGAAAGGGCCTATTGTTTTTGCTCGAGAGATGTCAAATTTTGCACTTTGAGCCTTAATTTCACCCCCTGAACATGCATGAAAAGTTGTACAATTTTGCCCAAACATCAGACCTGGTGAAAAATTTGGGTGTTTATTTTTATGGGACTCAAAAAATGCCAGAACAGCGCCACCTACAACAGCCAATGGGAGTTTCAGAGGTCAAGTTTGTCGTAGAGCCATGAAATTCGGTACACATGTTCCTCAAGTCAAGATACGACCGAAATGTTATCATGGCTCCGCCCTCTGACAAACAGGAGGCCCATAAATTTCACTGCAAAATGGAAAAATGATCCGCAATCATTTTCATACATGTCGGTTGGAAAGCGACTCCTCCTCGGCCGTTTCACTCCACATTGTCTAAACACATGTACCATCAAAATGACCTCAGGGATTTTTGATCAGTGAAACGTTGTTTGAGCAGCGGAGTGGCAAAATGTGAGTGTTTTTTGACCGTTTTTCACAACATTAATTTTGCTCCCGTTTGCACAAACAAAGTCTGATTTGCACAAAACTTGAATCCAATGTTCAACTCCAGGGTTCAGGTCAGGTGAAAGTGAAATATTTGAAATTGGCCCAATAGCGCCCCCTACAGATCGAGGCAAAGTTTTACATTGGGTGCCAAACAGCTCTAATCATCATATTCATTACAATTTGACTAACGTTCTTCTATGGCAACAGCAACAAATCATCACACGGCGGCCCCACCTTCGTTTTACGGTGCTGCGTGGTACGGTGTGGTGCGGCGTAGTGCGGGGGGTTGTGGAGCGGCACGTTGCGTCTTGGCGCGGGGCGGCGTGGTGCAGATCCGCTTGGTGCGGGGCGGCGTGGTGCGGGGCGGCTTGATACATGGCGGCTTGGTGCGGGGCGGCTTGATGCGGGGTGGCGTAATTCGGGACGGCTTGGTGCGGGGCGGCTTGGTGCGGCTTGATGCGGGGCGGCTTGGTGCTGGGCGGCTTGGTGCGGGGTGGTGCGCGCGGTGCGGGGTTGTGCGTGCGGTGCGGCGAGGGCCGTTCGACGCCGCTTGCGGCTTTAATATATTATTATTATTGTTATTATTATTATTGTTATTATTATATGTTTTTTCAAAGTAATGTACTGTATTACACTACAATATCTCTGTCTCTGAATTGTAACGCATTACACTGCTTCTCCATTTTAAGTTACTTTTGGTTTATGTTCCACATCTTTGTCTCCAACAAACTGAGTCCTGGCTCAGTCCTGGCTCAGATCTGTCCCAGTCCTGCTCAGTCCTGGCTCAGATCTGTCCCAGTCCTGGCATAGTCCTGGCTCAAATCTGGTTCATAGCAGCTTACAACATCATTTATAAAATTTGATTTTGAGGCTGCTTTAAAACATTGATTGAAACGTGGGTAAAACACACTCTGTGAATATTAACTCCTTTTGGACGATTTATTGATCAAACAAATCTCACACTTTCATCTGCTGCGTAGTCTGCATGTTTCTGAGACAAAAGACCGGGTCCAAAAGCTCCAGGGCCAACATTGTTTATACGTCATGATTTGCGGCCGATTTTCATGGTCCTTGTGGGCAGTGGTTGGTGACCCCCGTCTACGCTGCTACTATTAGCGCTTTTCCTCCTCTGCTGATCTTGCGGTGGCATAGTATAAAAGTAAAACTCTTTTGGGTTAAAATGCAATGTACCGTGTGAATATTACCCAGTTTTTGAGTTAAAATGCCTTACATTACTGAGATTACTTTACTTTTGTAACACATTACACCCAACACTGCTCCTATGTAATGTATTTATGCAATAATGGGCAGTGATGGGAATAACGGCGTTACTAGTAACGGCGTTACTAACGCCGTTACTTTTTTCAGTAACGAGTAATCTAACTAATTACTTTGACAGTAACTATAACGCCGTTATCATTTCCGACATCCCGTTACTGCGCGTTACTCAAGACGCACAATGAACGTGTTGTCATGAGAGAAGGGAGGATGAGAAAACCTCTCAGCAATTATTGGCTGATGTAAATCATATTTCCTTTACAATCTACATGTCTACAGTTGAGAGGATGGCTCATAAATTGTGTTTTTGAAACAAATATGGGTCTTAATCGCGCTCAACCACGGCTTGTATCACCGTGAGGTCAGCCACAGAGGAGCTCATGTGAGCGCAGAAGTCGGCTGCATACACTTCCATCGATAAGCTCCTTGCTCTTCCTGGTTTATCTGCTAAGGACAGCAACAGGTTTGGCTAACATACATATAACAAATTTTCACATAATCTAAAATGCACATAGGGTAATTTTTCAATTACTATAGGAATGATAAGAAAGAGAGGTGAAGTGTAAGACGGTTGATTTTAGAAATTGGATGCAGCCGGCTGCAGCAAAACAGAGGAGTTTACGGAGGACACACGCGTTTTGTTTTACTTTTTAAAACTCATTGAACTCATTTCCAAATGGAGGATTACATATCTACGCTCAAACCATTCACTGGATTTAAACAAGGAACTGGTCTGAACCGAAGTGGACTGTGCAGGTCATTTATAAGGTATAGCTATAAGGTAAGACCCATAACTCATAGTTTTGCGTTTTGTATGAACAAACAATGCGGGCATAAAACATATTTTGCTGTAGCTAAACAAATTGTCCACTTGATTTATATGATGTATATGTTCATCTGATTGGACTGAAGTCAGTGCTTCACCAGCCTCACCGCTCGTCACCGGTGTTTCCACATTCACAGTGGCGGGCTTTACAGCACAGTGAGAGATGAAGAGTGAACAAGACTTCAGCAGCAAAACAGCCTTTTCTAGATGGAAATATTGGCACTGTTAAAGGTAAAAATGCGCACGTCGGGTGCACATTATGTTCCAGAACAAAACGAAAAAGTAACGCAATAGTTACTTTTACTGGTAACTAGTTACTTTTATAGTGGAGTAACTCCGTTAGTAACTCAGTTACTTTTTGGGAGAAGTAACTAGTAACTATAACTAATTACTTTTTCAAAGTAACGTGCCCAACACTGATAATGGGGAGGCGATTATAAGTATTGTTTTCTCCTGCCTACTCTTTTTGAGCTTCATGTATCACTTGAACAAACAGATTCCGATTCAGTTTCTTTTCCATTAGCATAAAACCACATTGAAAGTCCCCAGTGTGCACCAGGCAAGTGCATCCATAAAACAAGGTGAGAAGAACAGGGATAAAACAGAGTGAAATCAATCAACAAAACAGTTTCAATACAAAAGAAAGATCATTGATGGACCTTGATGTGTTTTTTCTTTGTATCATCTGTAAGTATCTAAACTGAACTGAACCTCATTTGTAAAAATGATACAGTTAGATTAAATTGTCGTTATCAATACTCTACATTTTATTGTTTGCAGTATGAAAAGAGTATAAAACATGTATGTATAATTTCAACACACTTTTTTTTCTCTAAATAATCAAAATACTACAAAGGTATGTGAAACTGCACAGCCTCATGTCACTATTTGACTCTGTAAAAGCTGAAGATGAGACAGAGGCTAAACATACATCCGTGTGAAAACTAGTCACAGACGCATTCTGTGATCTCGGAACAATTGTTAGGTTGACTGTTTTACACTTCATTGGTTTACAAGTTAATCCCCAAAGCAAGATTCACAACAATGTATATTCTGATTAGCACGAGCCGAGAGACTTCAGCTGCTGTCGCTGTGGGATGGGTGGCGATTTGGTGCACACATAAACATACATGAAAAGTCCCGTTTCCACTAGCCCTACTTCACCCTACTCTACTCTATAGGAGTAAACTATTGTAGGAGTACAGTCGAGTAGAGTAGAGTAGGAGTAGAGTAAGAATAGGAGTAGGAGTAGGAGTAGGAGTAGGAGTAAGAGTAAGAGTAAGAGTAAGAGCAAGAGCAAGAGCAAGAGCAAGAGCAAGAGCAAGAGCAAGAGCAAGAGCAAGAGCTGGAGTAAGAGCTGGAGTAAGAGCTGGAGTAAGAGTAAGAGTTGGAGTAAGAGTTGGAGTAAGAGTTGGAGTAAGAGTTGGTGTAAGAGTTGGAGTAAGAGTAAGAGTTGGTGTAAGAGTAAGAGTTGGAGTAAGAGTTGGAGTAAGAGTTGGAGTAAGAGTAAGAGTAAGAGTTGGAGTAAGAGTTGGAGTAAGAGTAAGAGTTGGTGTAAGAGTAAGAGTTGGAGTAAGAGTAAGAGTTGGTGTAAGAGTAAGAGTTGGAGTAAGAGTAAGAGTTGGAGTAAGAGTTGGAGTAAGAGTTGGAGTAAGAGTTGGAGTAAGAGTTGGAGTAAGGTAAGAGTAAGAGTTGGAGTAAGAGTTGGAGTAAGAGTTGGAGTAAGAGTTGGAGTAAGAGTAAGAGTAAGAGTTGGAGTAAGAGTTGGAGTAAGAGTTGGAGTAAGAGTAAGAGTTGGTGTAAGAGTAAGAGTTGGAGTAAGAGTTGGAGTAAGAGTAAGAGTAAGAGTTGGAGTAAGAGTTGGAGTAAGAGTTGGAGTAAGAGTAAGAGTTGGTGTAAGAGTAAGAGTTGGAGTAAGAGTAAGAGTAAGAGTTGGAGTAAGAGTTGGAGTAAGAGTTGGAGTAAGAGTTGGAGTAAGAGTAAGAGTAAGAGTTGGAGTAAGAGTTGGAGTAAGAGTTGGAGTAAGAGTAAGAGTAAGAGTTGGAGTAAGAGTTGGAGTAAGAGTTGGAGTAAGAGTAAGAGTAAGAGTTGGAGTAAGAGTTGGAGTAAGAGTAAGAGTTGGTGTAAGAGTAAGAGTTGGAGTAAGAGTTGGAGTAAGAGTAAGAGTAAGAGTTGGAGTAAGAGTTGGAGTAAGAGTAAGAGTTGGTGTAAGAGTAAGAGTTGGAGTAAGAGTAAGAGTAAGAGTTGGAGTAAGAGTTGGAGTAAGAGTTGGAGTAAGAGTTGGAGTAAGAGTAAGAGTAAGAGTTGGAGTAAGAGTTGGAGTAAGAGTTGGAGTAAGAGTAAGAGTTGGTGTAAGAGTAAGAGTTGGAGTAAGAGTAAGAGTAAGAGTTGGAGTAGGAGTAAGTTGGAGTAAGTGTAAGAGTTGGAGTAAGAGTTGGAGTAAGAGTTGGAGTAAGAGTTGGAGTAAGAGTAAGAGTAAGAGTTGGAGTAAGAGTTGGAGTAAGAGTGAGAGTTGGTGTAGGAGTAAGAGTTGGAGTAAGAGAAAGAGTAAGAGTTGGAGTAAGAGTTGGAGTAAGAGTAAGTGTTGGTGTAAGAGTTAGAGTTGGAGTAAGAGTTGGAGTAAGAGTTGGAGTAAGAGTAAGAGTTGGTGTAATGTAAGAGTTTGAGT